TTGGCATGTACCTGTAGTCCCACCTACTTGGGAGACTGAGGCAGGAGGATCATCTGAGCTCAGGAGGTAGAGACTGCAGTGAGCCATGAGCATGCCACTGCACTCCAGCCTGGGTGACAGAGTGAGACCCCAACTCAAAAAAATTTTTAAAAAGGCGGAAGGAAGAAAAAAAGAGAAGAAAAGGAAGAAAGAGGCTGGGCTCAGTGGCTCAGCCTGTAATCCCAGCACTTTGGGAAGCCGAGGCGAGTGGGATTGCCTGAGCCTGTGGGTTCGAGACCAGCCCGGGCAACTTGGCGAGACCTCGTCTCTATAATAAATCAAAAATTAGCCGGGCATGGTAGCGCATGCCCGTAGTTCCGGCTACTCGGAAGGCTGAGGCAGAAGGATCGCCGGAGCCCAGCAGGTCGAGGCTGCGGTGGCCGGGAGCGGCCACTGCATTCCAGTCTGGGCGACAGAGTGAGACTCCAACTCAAAAAAAAAGAAAAGAAAAGAAGAGCGAAAGTGACCAGATGGCCAGACCGTGGAGGAGTTGAGAATCAGGGCCTCAACCTCTGAGGTGGCACTGCTGGGCTGTGTGCCCTTTTGCTGTTAGCTGTGAAGGATGAGGTTTGAGGTTTCCCCACTGATGTTGGGGCGGGGGCCTCTGCAACTTTGTTCTGCAGCCACGAGGCCTACTGAGTCCAGTGGAGTTGGGTCTCTCCCTCCCCACTTCTGCTCATTGAAGGGTCTGGAGAGGGGACAGGCTCTGAGGAGACCCTGGCCTGTCTGGGAAGGAGCTGAAGCCTGTGCTCCCCACCCCCACACTGGGCCCTAGCCCTTTCAGCTGATCTGTCACTGGCCAGTTTTCCTGGAATGGAGGCCTGGCGGTGTGACCCAGGCTCAGGGAGGACTAGGGAGCTCTGGAGTGGAAAGGGGTCATGTCCTTTGGGTTCCCCCCCAGGCCTCATCAGCCCCCTTGCCACTTCAGGCCCAGGAGCTCAGAGCCCTGGCCTAAGTCCCACATTGCCAGCTTCTGTTGCCCATGTCCCCACAGGCCCGCCGGGCCACACGGCCTGCCTTTGTCGACTCACCCTCTGACGTGGGCCGTGCCAGGAGGGGCTGACCCACGTTCTGCCTGCAGCTGGGACGAACCCTGCTGGAGGGACAGAGCTGGCACGCATGCGGATTCTTGCGGGTTCCTGCACTGTGGCAAGTGGACAGTGGGGGAGCAGGCCCTGGGGAGGCAGCTGATCGTGTGAGGGCCTCAGCCATTTCCTCACTTGTTCAGAGAATGTGGGCTGAGACCCTGCCTTGTGGGGAGCCCTGAGTGGCCTCCTGCTGAGAGCCCTGTGACTCTTGCCCGTTCACCTGCGTTGGAATCACTCCGGGCCCAGCCCAAGAGTCCCCGCCTCAGTAGGTCCGGCCATCTGGGAGGCTTTCTGACAGGCTCCTGGGAACGCTGTTGCCACTAGTTCAGAGTGCTGCTGTGTTCAGGACCAGGTGGAGGGATTACGCATGATTCTTGTTTTCTGTATCTTCAAAATGTCTCCGTGATCATGTTTTACTTTTATAAATAGAAAAATCAGTTATTTAAAAGTTTTAAAAAAGTGATTCCCAAAAATGACTCCAGTGCCTTGGGTGTGATCCCAGGGGGAGAGACGTCACCTCCCACGACTTAAAAGTTATGCATCTGTAAATGTAGCCCAGCATCATGAACTCGTGTGACCTTTGCACTTCCTCTGGGCTCATCCTGAGCTTGGGTTCTTAGACCATCACATCCTCCCCCTCACTGGGCCCTGTCCTCGTAACTGCAGAGAGTTAGTGAGACATGGCTAGGATCTGAACACAGCCTGTTGGGAGGCCGGCCTGGCTGGAATGCAGTGACTGGCTTGCACTTCCTGAGTGCCATCCAGTCTGCTGCTGAGACACCAGGACCCACTTCCTCATCTCTCTGGCTGGTGTGATCAGTGCCTGGCCCACTTCCTCCTTTCCCTCGCTGGCTCTGTCCATGTGGTGTGTCTTTAGGGACAGAGGTGGGCACGGGGTGCTGGCGAGGACGCTGTTCCCCTGTAGCTGCCAGGCAGGACTACCCGCTGCGGGGACCCTGCTGACTGCCCCCAGGAGCAAGGCTGTGGTGGCAGGTGGAGTGGAGCCCTCCAGCTGACAGTGGGAATGGGATGGTGTCGGGTGGAACTGGGAGATGTTTGTCACCTCTGTGTTCCTGTCCTGAGTTCAGAGGAGAGGCAGCGGAGAGACCGTTCCGGGTCAGGCAAGTGGGTGCAGCCACACTCAGCCGCCACACTGCTCAGAACTGCCTGGCCTGACTTAAATCCGTCCACCTTGCCGGTGCTGGCACTCAGCCCTTGCCCCTTCCCCCCAGGAAGCAACCCGCCAAGTTGACCTGTGGAGCCCAGTGCCTGCCCTCGCCTGTGGGAGGCTTGTGTGGAGAGAGCCCCAAGAGGCAGTTTAGTCCTTCAGCCCCAGGGTGGGGCCAGGGATGTTGGGACAGAGGCTGGAGGTGCCCTCTCTGTGATGGCAGTGCCAGGAGGAGGAATAGAGACCTACTTCCCAGGCCCTTTGTTCCCTTTTTTTTGAGTTGAGTCTCACTGTCACCCAAGCTGAGTGCAGAGGCATACTCGTGGCCAATGTAGCTTCGACCTGCTGGGTTCAGGCAATCCTTCCACCTCAGCCTTCAAGTAGCTAGAACTACAGGCGTGTACCATCACGCTCGGCTAGCTTCATGATTTATTGTAGAGATGAGGTCTCACCATGTTACTCAGGCTGGTCTCAAACCCCTGAGCTCAGACAATCCTCTTGCCTCCGCCTCCCAAAGTGCTGGGATTACAGGCTTGAGCCACCGCGCCCAGCTAAAGCCTACAGAGGCACCTGGTCTTCCCAGGCAGTCTTCCCTCAAAAAAGTAACCCGGCTAGATCCTGCTTAGCTTCATGAGCTCTCATGAGATCCAGTGCGATCAGGCTGCCATGGCCTTGAACTCATTCCCATTTTCTTTGGGGAAAGGGGGCTCAGAGAGTTAGGACTCCTGCTCTCAGGCCCGCGGGTGGTCTTTTGCTCCTTGGACCACCCCCCTGCTTCCATCAGCACCTTCCTTGGGTGGTTTCTCTGGCTCATCAGTGGCACCTTTGGAAAATCATCCATCCTTGGTGACTCCGTTTCTCTTTGTAGTGTATTATTCAGTCACCCTAAGAGTAGGCACTGTTATTTCCATTTGTGACTCAGTTTTCCCACGTTAGGCTACATAATAATTATGCATTTTGCTACATAATTTCACTCTGCTCCCTCCTATACTTGGTGTCTAATGATTATTGTGTATTGTGTGTCTTTTTGTTGTGTTTGTGTGCCTGCATTCATGTAGTTAATATTGCTGGGAGCCTGCCACATGCGAGGCCACGGGGTGACCTTCTTGCCACTCACTGTCTCACTAGGAGTCAAACTGTTGAATAAAGACTTGGGGCATGTGCCGATGCTTAACAAAAGGAGAAGTGAGGGCCCACTGGAAGGCTGGAGGCTGGTGACGGAGGTGGCAGGAGCTGCTCTGAGGAAGTGAGGTCACCCTCCACCTCCCTCTGCTTAAAACCCAAACCTGCGTTAGCGAGGTGTGCCTGTCGTCCCAGGAGGCCAAGGTGGGAGGGTCGCTTGAAACTAGGAGTTCAAGGCTACAGTGAGGTGTGATCGCACCACTGCACTCTAACCTGGGTGACAGACTAAGACCCCATCTCTAAAAAGGCAAAAAACAAAAACCCCAAGCCAGACTCTTTACTCAGTTTCCAAGGCTCTCTCTGCTGGTCTCTCTTTCTTCAGCCTCAGATTTCCCCCATAGCTGCTCTGACCTCCTGGCTGTATCTTGACACATTGAACGCTTTCCTGCCTCTGAGCCTTCGTATACACTATTCCCTCTGCCTGCAAAATCTCTCACTGGCTCTCTCTACATGGCTGTTCTTGTCTCAGCTCAAATGTCACTTCTTTAGTGAATGGCCTCCCTGACCATGTTCCCATAAACAGCACCTTCCCCCATCACTCTGTCAGGTTACCCACATTTTAAAAGTTTGTTTTATTTTTACCTTCATAGCACTTAACAGCATAAACATTTTTTTCTTTTTTGAGTCCATGTCTCATTCTGTCACTCAGGCTGGAGTGTAGTGGCACGATCACAGCTCACTGTAGTCTCTAACTTCTGGGCTTAGGCAGTCCTTCTAACTCAATCTCCCAGGTAGCTGGGACTACAGGTATATGCTGCCATGCCCAGCTAACTTTTAAATTTTTTTTGTAGAGACGAGTTCTCGCTATGTTACCCAGGCTGCTCTTGAACTCCTGGACTCAAGCAATCCTGCCTTGGCCTCCCAAAGCACTGAGTTTACAGGCATGAGCCAGCATGTCCAGCAAAAAAATTTTAATTTGTTGACTGACTTTGTAGCTCCCCAGTGAGGCTTGGGCTCCATGCAGAAAATATGGAAGGGGCTGGTCCCCGCTTTCCTCCCTGCCCTGTGTTTAGTACATAGTCAGTGCTCACACATGTAGCAGTTTCCTATCACCGCTATAACAAATCACCACACATTTAGTGACTTGAAACAACACCAGATTATTATCTTCTAGTTCTAGAAGTCTGAAAATCGAGGTGCTAGCAGGGCTCAGTCCTTCCCCCACCTCTCCATCTTCTGGGGCCGCCCATCCTCCTCGGCTCCCCTCCTGTCTTCAGAGCACCTCACTCCAGCCTCTGCATCGGTCATGTCCCCTTCCACCTGCCTTCCTCCTACAAGGGTCCTTGTGATTGCATTAGGTCGCCTAGATAATCCAGGACTGTCTCAAATCCTCCATCCCACCTGCAGAGTCCCTTTTACTGTGTGAGGTAACATCCACAGATTCTGGGAATTCAAGTGTTTCAGTCTACTAATGCCTCCAGGCCCTGGGTGCCTCATTCAGCACTGGGTGTGGCCAGTCCTCAACACACTGACTGCTGCTGTGGCACCCGGGGATCTGACGGTACCTCTCTTTCCAGGACGAGATTGAGGAGCTGCGGGCAGAGATGCTGGAGATGAGGGATGTGTACATGGAGGAAGATGTGTACCAGCTGCAGGAGCTGCGCCAGCAGCTGGACCAGGCCAGCAAGACCTGCCGTATCTTGCAGTACCGGCTGCGCAAAGCTGAGCGCCGCAGCCTCCGTGCCGCCCAGACCGGTCAGGTGGATGGCGAGCTTATCCGGGGTCTGGAGCAGGATGTCAAGGTCAGCCTGGGCCCCCAACTCTCACAGGTGCCCTCACTGGGGGGGGTGGAACCACAGGCCCTCGTGCAGCTCAGGTCAGCCCTGTGGCTCGCTCTGTGTGTGTCCTTGGACAAGTACACCACCTCTCTAGGCCTCAGTTTCTTCATCTCCTAAGTGGGTATCCTTGATGAGTCCACAGACCATCTGCATGGACACCCCAAGAGGTATCACAGTGTGAATCCTGCTAACAGTAGCTACTGCTATGTGTGTATCACCCACACAGGTCTTAGGCTCTGACTTGTCTCTGTATAGTGCCATGGAGTTTCTTTTTAATTTTCTTTTTTTTTTTTTGAGTTGAAGTCTCACTCTGTCACCCAAGGCTAGAGCGCAGTGGCACGCTCACAGTCACCGCAGACTCGACCTGCTGAGCTCAGGTGATCCTTCTATCTCAGCCTTCCAAGTAGCTGGAACTATAGGCATGCACCATGCCCGGCTAATATTTTTGATTTATTGTAGAGATGAAGTCTTGCCAAGATTCCCAGGCTGTTCTTGAACCCATGAGTTCAAGCAATCCTCTCACCTTGGCCTCCCAAAGTGCTGGGATTATAGGTGTGAGCCACCATACCTGGCCCTTTTAATTTTCTTTTTAGACACAGGGTCTTGCTCTGTTGCCCAGACTGGAGTGTAGTGGTGCAATCATGGCTCATTGTAACTTCATATTCCTTGGCTCAAGCGATGCTCCTGAGTAGCTGGAACTCCAGGCATGAGCTACCAGGCCTGGCTAATTTTCTTTTTTCTTTTTTGTACACATGGGATCCTGCTATGTTGCTCAGGCTGATCTCCAGCTCTTGTGCTCAAACAGTCCTCCTACCTCGGCCTCCCAGAGTGCTGGGATTACAGGCATGAGCCATTGTGCTGGGCAGAAATTTCCTTGTTATGCTAAAGAGAGTAGTCTAGGCCTGGAGGTGGACATGGCTGGATCAGACCTTGGCTCCAGATTGCTTGAGCATTGTGATTTTGAGCAAGTCACCTATGTTTCAGCCTCATCTGTAGGAGGCAGAGCCCAGACTTATCAGCCTCCCAAGCCTCCATGCCTGGCCTTGCTCTCTCTGCCTCAGGAGGCTGGCAGATGGGGCCTCCATAAGAGAAGTCTCCCCTGGGTGTCTGCAGAAGCCCTGGTATCGGAGTGGGGCCCGAGAGCTGGCCTCCTGCCCTCGGAGCTCAGCCTGTGTGACCACGGGGAAGGAGAGGCTGGGATAGGATGTGAGGATGATTTCTGCGCGGGTAACTTGTGAGCGAAGGCTCTTAGTGGGGAGTGGCCCGAGCCAGGCAGAGACATACCCAGATGATAGCCTGGGGGAGAAAGGCAGCCACACTCATACCTAGAGAGGACTCCCTCTCCCCCCCCACTGCTGGACAACATCAGCAGATTCAAGGCCTATAGCCTTTCAGTGGAATAGAAAAGCAAAGCATTCATGAAGGACTAAGAAAGCTGTGATCTCAGAGGCCGGCAGGGCTGGGGAAGTAAATGGTGGTGCCAGCTGCTTGCGGGTGCTGCAGTCTCCCGCTGTAGTGAACGCACGGTGGGACTGTAGCTCTGTACACATGAGTATGCCTCCGAGTTCAAAGCATACCTCTGCCTGAGAGGGCAGCTCCTGGCTAATTCAAATCCAATCACTGGGCTAGGACTGGGTGGGGGGTGGGGGCGGGTAGAG